TCAGATCCAGTGCCAGGCTCTAAAAATAGGAACTCAAGTGGTGCAAAGGGCACCTTTGCATATGTGTATGGGCTCTGTGTGCCCTCCTGCGTGTCCTCTGCAGGATAAAGGAGAGCCTGTCCCTTCCCCTTCCTTCCAAATAAGGAACTGCTCTGTTTGTCCACCAAGTCCTGCAGGACTGGCTGGTCGCCTTTGAGTAGTTCGGCTTCCCTGGGATTAAGCATCCGCATCACAAGACTCACAGGGCAGCCCTCCCGCTTTGTCCAGAGGAGGAGCTCACCGCCTGCTCCCACAGTGTGCCGTGGCACACATGCTGCCTCCAGGCAGGACAGCTCTGAGAACTGCCCTTCTGGGGACACCCTTGGCAAGGGCACGACTAGCTTGGGTACATGGGGAAAAAGCCCTGGGGGCTTTATGGGTGGACATGTCCCCTGCTGTCCGGTGTCCTGGCAGCACTGAGCTCGCTCCATCACGGGGTGCCCTCTTGCAGGAGAAGGCATCTCTAGCTATGCAGACAACCCTGCTGAGGCTGGAGCCAGCCTGAAGCCGTGCCTGGACAAGGCCATGAAGATCATCCCGGCAGAGCAGCAGCGGGACACCCCCACCTACCTGGGGGCCACAGCGGGCATGCGGCTGCTGAGGTACTGGCACTGCCCTGAGCTAACCACCCCCAACCCCTTCCCTACCGCGTGTTTCTGCACTGCATCCGGGTCAGGGGGCTGGGACAGGGGGCTGGGGGCAGGAGGCTGGGGGTATCAGGGGCTGCTGCCCAGGCAGGCCATGGTGATGGGCAGAGCATCCACGTCTGCAGTCTGCCGGGGTGTCCAGGAGAGCCGCTCGCCCAGCCCAGCACCAGCCCAGCACCCGCCCCAGAGGTGGATGAGCCTCCTTGCCAGACTTGCCTTGACCTTCCCGCATGCTCAGGCAGAGCCCGCGGGCAGCACTTTTGGGGAGACTCCTGGTGCACCACTTGAGGGATTTGGCAGCTTGCAGGAGATGTCCTGCAGGCAGGGCAGTGATGGAGGGGATGTGCCTTGTCTCTGAGCACCACCGCTCCTCCGCAGAGGACAGCAGCCCCTTGCTGCTAGCCCTGCTCTGAAAGCCCCCTGGCCATTGCCTCCTCCACTACACGGTATTTATCTCCTTCCCTGGGCAGGGAGCAGAACAGCACCAAGGCTGAGCAGGTCTTCGCCGAGGTCTCCAAGGCCATTGGCAAGTACCCTGTGGACTTCCGTGGAGCTCAGATCCTCACAGGGAACGAGGAGGGCTCCTTCGGCTGGATCACCATCAACTACCTGCTGGAGACGCTTGTCAAGGTGCGAGCTTGGGGAGGGGGTGGAGGGGGGTGGAGGGGGTCTCCCCTCCCTGCTGTGCTGCAGTCTGACCTGAGAAGCCAATGTCCCTGTGGTCACCCTGTGCCGGGTCCCCGTGGGTAACTCCCAGTGCTGGGCAGCGCTCCTTCTTAGGTGAGTGGACCCACCCACCAGCAGAGGATGTGGTTGGAGCTCTGGATCTTGGTGGAGGTTCAACCCAGATCACTTTCCTTCCTGGGACCACCATAGATGACAGCAGCACGAGATCCCTCCTCAGGCTGTACGGGACCAACTACTCCATTTACACCCACAGCTATCTCTGTTATGGACAAAAGCAAGCTCTGAAGATGCTGATGGCATCCTTGCACCAGGTAACCACCTCCAGCCTTGTGCTCCTCAGCTACAGCCTGAGCCCTGATCTCACTGAACTAGGCAGGCAGCACCCACTGGGTGTGACGATGACTGGGCTTTGTGCCTTTGTGCCAGCCCCTGTGAGGATGGGGGGTACAATAGGGCCACCATAGCAGGAACCATCCCAGGGATGACCCAACAGCAGAGGGCAGGGTTGAGACAACATGAGGTGGACATCCCAGAGCAGGATGCCTGACCACAGGACTTCGGGGATGGTGGGTGCCTGGGGGCCCTGTCCCAGGGCTATCTTGCCCAACAGATCTCCATTCCTGTCCTGATGGAGGGGCTGTGTCAGCCCAGCCTCAGTCACAGGGGGCTGGAAGGACCCAGCCCTGGAGGAGGGAACCTGATAGGTGCTAGGAGGCTGGGGAAGACCCAGAGGGGTTTTTTAGCACCAGTATGATAATGAATAACTTGGTTTTATGGGTAAAAAGTGAACCTGCTGGTCTTCAGCAGGATGTGTTGGCCATGGGAGAGTGAAGGGAAGTGGTGTACAGGGGGACACTGGTGTCCATAGCTTGGCTGTGGGGTGAGGGCTCAATGCAAAGTCGTGCTGGTTGGAATGGGCAAAAGAACAGGTCCAGAGCACATTGCAAAGATAAATCAGTGTCCATTTTGATTTTGCTTAAACGGCTTCTCAGCTTTGGCTCTCCTCTGAGTCTTGGTGACCCTACAAAGGGAGAGTAGGGGCAGAATGGGTCTACAGTCAGCACAGGATACAACCCCCCAAGGCCTTGGGCGTGTGACCATCACTGTAGCTGATCCCTGACCACAGCGTGGTCACACCATGCTTGTCCTCATGACTCTGTGCCTGCACCCTGCGGACAAGACCGCATGGTTGGTGGGGCCACCATGCTAGTGTCCTGCCTCTGGCTGTGGGAACAGGGCAATGCTAACAGCTCCCACTCTCTCCAGGGCAACCCATCTTCCCAGGAGATATCACACCCCTGCTACCCCATGGGGTACCAGGAGAATGTCACCACGTCAGACCTCTACAACAGTCCCTGTGTCCGTGCACCGAGCACACCCAGCCCTGCACAGGTCCTCACAGTGATAGGGACAGGGGACCCAGCAGCATGCAGCATCGCCATCAGGAAACTCTTCAACTTCACCTGTGGGGCCAACAGGACGTGCGGGTTCAACGGGGTTTATCAGCCGCCTGTGCGGGGACAGTTCTTCGTAAGGAGCCTCCGTCCCCATGGCTGTGGCAGGGGTGGGGGATTTTGGGTCACCAGAGGCTGTCCACGACCCCAGGAAAATTGCTGTATGAGAGAAGTCTGAATAGGGCCAGGCCTGAAAGCTAGGATGTGCCCCGTGCATGGAGACATGCAGGGTGCTCACCAGTGTGTCAGGCAGACCCAGACCTCTCTTGTCACAGCACCAATCTCTTTCAGTGTGGGGAGCAGTCCCAGGGCTCCCTCCCAGCAGGTCAGCAAGCATCACCCTGCTGTGCTGAGATGTGGCCTTAAGAAACTGCAGAGCACCCGGAGGGAGGGGCAGGGAGGGGTGGCAGTGGCCTGGGTGTTTCACTGACTTGCTGCCTTTGGTCTTAAACACCCACAGGCCTTTTCAGGGCTTTATCACAACCTTCACTTTCTGAACCTGACTGGAGGGCAGTCCCTGAGCCTGGTCAATGACACTGTCAGGCAATTCTGCATCATCAAGTGGGAGAAGGTGAGGTCCTGCCTAGGAGATGAAACCCATGTTTCACCTGGGCACTGGGCAGCCTAAGGGCTCATCTGCAGCACATCCTCTGCTGCACAGAGAGCAGCTGGAGGGAGCTGGGAGGAACAAAAAGATCTCTGGACAGGGAGAGAGATGGAAGAGCAGCCTGTAGCCTCCTGGGTCCTCCTTGCTCCCCAAGCTCACGCACTCCTGGGTCTTTGCTCCCAGCTGCACTGTGGGGCTCTTCCCCACAGTGTGGGTGTACAGAGCACTGCTCTGCACTGGCAGTTCCCCCCGGCTCTTCCACCTCTGCAGATGCAGGAGATGTTCCCCACTATGAACAGGACTCACCTCCGTGATGTCTGTGCAGCAAGCTCCTACATCGTCACCCTTCTCCTGCAAGGCTACAAATTCAACCATGCAACATGGCTTGATATTCACTTTGTCCAGCAGGTAGGAAAGTGCCTGGCAGCCCCCAGCTTCCATGCTTTGTGCCATGAAATGACTTGTGCCCACCCTGTCACTGCCCCTGCTCTGCCTGGATGGAGGAGGAGGGAATAATGGGGCAGCACAGCCTATGCCCAGGGCAGCTCTTGAGTTACGCTCACAGGCACCTGCCAGGAGGTCTGGCCTGGGCCATTTATGCCCTCCCCCAGCTTGTCTCACTAACAGAGTATCTGCAGCCCAGGGTGTGCACAGATAAGGTGGCTGTGGAGCAAGACCTGGGGGTGCAATAGCAAAGGTCTTCCCTGGTTCTCTGGCTTGCATGGTACTTTTCAGCCTTTCACATCTCTCTTTGTTCTCTGTCTGCACAGGTTGCCAATGTAGATGTGGGCTGGACTCTGGGCTACATGCTCAATCTCACCAACATGATTCCCTCAGAGACTCCCCAGAGAGTTGTAGGGCTCCAGAGAAGCAACTGGATAGCAGCTACAGTTTTACTGGCTGTCATGATCATCCTCATCTTCTGCCTGCTCACAGTCATATGCTGCCAGAAAAACTCCAGTTATGAGAGTCTCTAGCAGTGCCAGCTCCAGAGGCTGCCAAAGACACTTAGTCCTCCTACCTGGCTTGTGTGAGGAATTACAGACCTGGGAATCACCCCTATATGTCCAGAAGCTGTGAACTTGCAATGTGGGACACCTGTGTCCTGGCCTTGTGAGCTGGAACCAGCATAGGCTTTAAAAAATCCTCCCTGTATCTGTGTGCTGTCTGGTTTTCCTTTCCCCTCACTGTTGTTTGGAGATATTCTAGGAGGTGAGGCATGGACGTGTAGAGCAGAGGCTCAGTGCTGTGTGTGTGTGGGGACCACAGTGCTGTGGGGCGGCTGGAGATGATGGGACCAGTGGGTCAGGGAAGAGAGAAGGGGTGTCTGAAAGCAACAGGATCATCATGAGGCTGGTTACAGCCTGCAGCAGATAGTGCAATAGTGCATGTGGGGCAGATGTGTGTGCCCCATCCCAGGACAAGAGCCTGCATCACCCATGGCCACCAGGAGGATGGTCAGACACTGGAACAGGCTCCCCAGAAAGGTGGTTGGTGCCCCAAGTCTGTAAGTGTTTAAGAGGCATTTGGATGATGCCCTTAATAACACGCTTTAACTTTTGGTCAGCAGTGAAGTGGCCAGGCCGTTGGACTATGATCACTGTAGGTTCCTTCCAACTGAAAATATTCTGCTCTGTTCTATTTGGTGCCAGACAGAGGGGCAGTGGCAATGGGACTATGGGAGAAGCTGGCCTGGTAGATGGGACTCAGGCTCTGCTCAGGACTGGGAAGCCCTGTGAGGTGAGGGATGGCAGCAGCACCCTGCTCTCCTCCGTGAGGTTCCTCTCTGGTCCATCTGCACCCTGTCTGTGCCTGGCAGACATCTCATCCTCCCTCTCCAGCATACAGGGTGATGTGGGAACACTGGTGGGACATGTCAGGGCAGCTCCTGGGGCCCCCTTTACATTTTTGGAGAGTCCCACTGGTGTCCAGTAGATGGGTGAGGTGAGGACAGCGGAGCTCTCATCAGGAAAAGACCTGTCCTTGTGCCCTGCTGGCTTCTCTCTGAGGTATTGCAGATGTTGAGATGTCTCCAGGAACATATCCCATAACACTGAGCAATGTTGACTCTCCCCTAAGTCCCCTTCATCACCAGCCCTTACCTGGAGGATGGAAACAATAAAATCATAACTATTCAGGAGCAAAGTAACAGGCATTCCCTCATTGGCTGCCCTTTACAGTGTTTATTTGGAGGATGAGACCTGTGAGATGCCTGCCTTTCTGCAGACACCAAAGGTCAACTCCTGACTGCCAGAAGGCAAATAACAAGATGAATCATCCACAGGGCAGATAACAAATGAGCAGAACCAAAGGCAAGGGTGTAGTTGTGGGCAGGACCCAGCCCAGCCACGTGCATGGGGTCAGGGCAGGACTGCAGCCTGCTGGTGTCTCAGACTGACACCATGGTGTCCAGGACTTCTGCTGGTGGGACAATGATGTCTCCAGTAACATCGGTTCCTTTATCCCAGAAGAAAAGGAGGATGAGATGAGATGAGATGAGACGAGACGAGACGAGACGAGACGAGATGAGACGAGACGAGACGAGACGGACCCTCTGGGGAGGCATGGACCATGTTTCTGACTTTGGATGTTCAATGTGCCTTCTGTCTCCAAGACCATCAGATATGTCCAAACAATACACCCTCAGGAGAGCCAGCTGGGGTACTACAGAGCCTTGCAAGCCCTCATGCTGGCAGACCTGGCAGGGACCCGCCTGGCTGTTGGCAACTGTTCTCAGACCCAGCATTGCACTGGTCTGGGCCATTTATGCCCTCCCCCAGCTTGTCTCACTAACAGGGTATCTGCAGCCCAGGGTGTGCACAGATACAGTGACTGTGGAGCAAGACCTGGGGGTGCAACAGCAAAGGTCCTACAAAGGTTCTCCAGCCTGCATGGTACTTTTCAGCCTTTCACATCTCTCTTTGTTCTCTGTCACCAAGTCACCCTGTCACCAAGTGCCTGCAGCTGTGCACTAACAGTCTGGCACTCTGGGAGCTCTTCCGTGGCCAGGCTGGCTCTCCATGGCCCCATGTGCCAGCCAGTGGGATGGAGGCCATATCTATAACAGGCACAGCGGTGTGAGCAGGCATATAGGCATGGCTGGGGTTCCTGGGGTATGTGGAATGATCCCAGCAGGACTCCACAGGAGTGGAGATCCTCTGGAAACCTCACATGGTGCCTATCTGCATGTTGGGGCCAGTCCCATGGAAGGCCAAAGCTCGGTTCTTCAGGGCTGTAGAGGATCACGTGCTCATCATCACTGAACCAGCCTCAGGCTGCCAGTCCCGCTGGCAGAAGTGCAGTGCACTGCAGTGCAGGGAGCCCTCCAGCCCCAACGTGCTCCTGCCAGGCTCTGAGAGGCAGTTGGGCTCCTACACCCACAAGAGCAGGAGCAGGGCAGCAAGCCCCAAGGCAAGGGTGAGGATGATGAAGGTGATGGCCGCAGCCCACAGGGAAGGAATGTGCCCCTTCACCCGTGCTGGAGGCTCTGCTGGGATCATGTTGGTGAGGTTCAGCATGTAGCCCAGTGTCCAGCCGACATCGGCACTCCCTGCCTGGCCAAAGAGAGAGGGGATGATGAGTTAGCCCCGCAGGAAAGCCACATCAACGACACAGGGCCACCTACTCCTGTACGGCCCAAATGGGGTGCAGTAGCTGGCCCCACACCCAGTGCCATGCTGGGATGTGGGGCAGGCAGGGCTTTCTGGACCGTAGCTCTCACAGCACCCCAACGCAGGAAGCTGGCTCTTTTCCCCAGTGCTGCCTCTACTCCTGCCTGCAGGATGCGTCGCTGCCTACCTTCATCTGAAAGAAGATGTTGTTCCAGCTGGTCTCATTGAACTTGTAGGCATCGAGGAGGAGTGTGAGGATGTAGTTGGCATTGGCGCAGTATTTAGGCAGTCGTTCAGGATTCTCTTTAGGGTAGCTAGAAGACAGCTGGGGTGGGGACACATTTGGGGAGGAAGGGAAGTCATTTGCACTTTCCATGCAGGGACAGTGTCCTGATGACTATTGCATGAGGGGCAATGGCTCCACAGCCACCAGCATCCAGAAAAAGACTTCTGGACCAGGCAGGAATTTTGGACCTGTCTGCATGGGGCAACTCCTTTGAGGAGGATTTACTTTCCACATAGAGAGACATACTGGAGCTCCTCCTGACCCAGATCCTCCCATCTCAGCCTCCTCATGCAAAGGGCTCCTGCTCTCTGCCCCATGGTGGTCCTAGCACCTCTTGGCCTTATCGATGCCCATTTGACTTGTTTCCAGAGTGGTGCCAGCAGCTGACTCTCCTCTCAGCATCCTCCAGTGCTAAGACCCACCTCCATCCCCAGCTCCTGTGCTGGAGGAGAGATTTTGCTGCCTTCACCTGCCCTGGCTGCCCCTTCCTCAGTGTTGCATGAGCAAGGAGGGCCCCCAAGGGTGGGTGCAGGATGGTCCTGGCTCCCACACATTGCTCAGGGATGGCTCCACTGTGTAGGGCACAGCTTAGCAATCCGCGAGCCTTGCTCTGGAGGGGTCCCTGCTCCTCTTTCCCCACCCCAGGGCCCCTTTGCTTCTGAAGCTTCCCCACAGCCTTTCATTGTGGGGAACGTACATTTTCCCAGCTTCTTGCACAGAAATGCTCGATGGTCTCCCTGACAGTGGCCAGCGATTGCCCTTTGGTCAGGTTGAGAAACTTGAAGTTATAGTAAAAGGCAGAGAAGGCCTGAAAGGCAAGAGGCAGAAATGTCATTGAGCTACAGTAGGGAAACCCCCCCCAGAGGGCTGACCACCCCCCACCCCCTTGAAGCAGGAGGTGAGGTTTGTCCTTCACCACTTCACCAGGTTTGTCCCACCCTTGTATAGTCCCACGGCATCATTTTCCATGTCCCAGCAGAGATGATGAGCTGGAAGTATAGGTGCCTGTTGGCTATGGCAGCACATCGAGTGCAGGCAGAGCTTTGCCTGCAAGCTGCTGGCTAAGCTGTTTTGTTTTACTAAAAACTTGTTTCTTGATTGAGCACCTGTTTTATTAACATGGCCCCATTCGGAAAGCTGGCTGGAAAACCTGAGACAGCGATCCCTCATATGCCCTGGGACAGTGGTAATTTGGGAGTTTCTTGCCCCTGTTCTGCTGCAGGGAGGTGACAATGTCACAGGACACCCAGGGACACCACTGCTCCCCAGGACATGCTCTGCCTCGGAGGTGGGAGGGTGGGATTTGCCTTACAATGAACTGCCCTCTGACCGGGGGCTGGTAGACGCTGTCAAAGGTGCAGTCCTGGCGCTGGCCACATGCCGAGAAGTTGAACAGCTTCTTGATGGCAGCCAGGCACCCACTGGCATTGCCCCTGCCCTCCAGGGTCACGTTCCTGTCACCGAGGATCAGGCGTGGGTCACTCTGGTTCGTGCAGGGACTGGTGCGGAAGGAAGACAGCGAGATGGTTTCATTGTAGTCTTTTGGGTAGCAAGGGTGATCGACTTGCGTGCTGGAGGATGACTCCTGGGAATAGCAAAATCACAGGCTGCAGCCCCCTCCAAACCCTCTTGGCAGGCATGATGAGTGTGAGGATTCACCCAGAGCTCCCCCTAAAGCCACAGGCACAGACATCTCCCACCTCCTCAGCAGGGAAAGACCCTCCTGCTGTTTAATCCTGATCTTGTTGGCTGTCTGCAGTCTCAGCCCGAGCTCAACACTAATTCTCACTCTGCTTTGTCTCATTCCCTATCCCATGGAAGCAGACCCAGCATGTCTCTACCCTGGCCAGCAGAATCATGGTTTGGGGCATGCAAAACCCTTTCCACCCCGGATCTATCTCTGTCTCTAGCTCCAGCCCTAGCCAGGGACACCACCTGGGACCTTCCTGGTTGTGCAGCATGAGCAAACCCTTCTAGCTCTCCAAGGCTGATTCTCCTGGCAAGACGCAGCTCTGTGAAGACCCTCTTCCCCTCTCAACTTCCAAAAATTGGCCTGAGAAAGATCTCTGGTTCACATTTCTCAGGTCTGTGCAGTCACAGAGTAGTTGAGTTTTGTGGGGAGCTATAGGGTCTCTGGCCAACCTCCTCCTTAAAGCATGATCAGCTAGATTGGGTTGCTCAGAGCCTTGTCCTGTCAAGTTCTGAATATTGCCAATGTTGGTGACTCCACAGCATTTCTGGACCCTATTCTGATATTTTTCCATCCTTATTGGGAATAACTTTTCCCCTGCATCTGTTTGGAAATTCGCATGTTCCAGCTTGTGCCCGTTGCCTCTTGCCCTGTCATCTTGCACCTCTGAGAAGAGCCTGGTCATTGCCTTTTCCACATCCTGTGCGAGGCAGCTCTGTAGAGCCTGAAGACCTCTCCTGAGCCACCCCTTGTAACACTTCCTATGCTCCTCTCCACACCTGCCTACCTGTGCTCCAAGGAGTCTGAACCTGCTCTCAGTCTCTGCTGATGCCCCTCTGGAAGAGCGTTGTCTGTTCTTCCTTTATGCATTAACAAGTCCATGGTTGGTATCATGAAACCAGAGTCCAATTACCCCCCAGTTCCCTTCTCACCACAATTAATTCCTTTGCCAGTCGCTTCAGCATCTCATTCTGTCCGTAGCAGAGGTAGCTGTGTGTGTAGATGTTGTAGCTATACCCATACAATGTGAACTTGGAGGTTTCGTTCCAATTCATGACTGAATTTTCAGGCATAAAGCTGATCTGAGTGGATGCTCCTCCAAGATCCAGTGCCCCAAAAATGTTGGCTGCCTCTGGACGAACCCACGCGTGTGCTTTGGGGGAGTACTGCCAAGGCAAGACAGGAGAGGAAGAGGAGTAGTACAGGGCTGGGTTTACTTGCCCTGAGCAAAATTCTCAACCCACTGAAGTCAATAGGGTTTTATTACTAAATTCAATAGGTATTCAATTCAATTATTTCCCTCTGTGAGGCCCCACTGCCTTCCCTTGCCCAACCAGCCTGGCCATTTATCAGAGCCAGAAAAAACAGAGATTGAATTGTGCCAACGTTCTGTGGGCTCACATGGCTCTGAGTCACCGGTCCCCAGACCAAAGTGCTGGTGAGGACCTGGCTTGGAGGGGCTGCCCTTCCTGAAGAGCAGGCTGCAGAGACACCGGTGCAAGGGCAAGGACAGAACTCCTCCAGCAGCTTGCACAGGAGCTCAGCGGTGCCAGCACCACTCTCAGCTCTGGCAGTCCTGGGATAGAGGGTGGCAGGAAAGAGGTTTGGTTCAAGCTTCCTTCAGACTGGCACATTCGAGTCTCCCAGAGCCACACAGAGATAGACCTTCCCAGGGCAGCGAGACAAAGCCCAGAGGAGCAAACGGTCCCCACTGGGCTGCACGGCTGACCCCGCTGTCCCCAGGACACCTGTGTCCGTATGGTGTGGACATGTGCCCTTAGCTCTTAACCCCCTGCTCCTGGATTCTCCCTCCTCTTTCACTGTAGGTGAGCCAGAGGATAACTGGCTACTCCCCTAGATCATTTCAGAAACCTGTTAACCCTGTCCTTTACTTCTGTGCTTAAGAAAAATCAGAAAAGCTGTGTTAGGAAAGAAGGAGTGGGTGTTTCACCCTTCTCCCACCTTAGTGAAGGACTCTAGGAGGTAGTTGATGGTGATCCAGCCATAAGCCCCCTCCTCCTCTCCTGTAAGGATCTGAGCCCCTTTGAAAGCCATGGGGTACTCTTGCATGGTCTTAGTAACTTCAGCCAGGACTTGATCTGCTGCTGAGCTGTTCTGTTCCCTAAGAAGGACTCAAAGGTCAGGACACATACCCAGCTACATCAGTACATCAAAACAGTCTGTTGGTTTTTTGTTGGTTGGTTTTGTTTTTTTTTCCCCCCAGTTCCACATACTTGTTTTTTGCAACAAGCAGTTTGTGTGAAATGATGTTTCCTGCTATGTAACTTGTCAAAGCTGCTCGTACAGCATAAATCCCAGCTGTCTAGACTTGGCTTCAAAAATCCAGTGCAGCTTGATCCCAGTCACACAGAGGTTTGCCAGGCACCCTTCCCTACCTCAGTGTCTTCCTAGTGCTGCAGGCCAGAGGGGATTGTGCTGCAAAACCCAGGTTTGGACATCACCCACTGACTTCACCAAAGCCAGGGCTGGTTGCTGAGCTCAGCTGGGTCTTTTGGGAAGGTGCCAGCCTGGTTTCAGATCTCTGAGTGGGGAAGATATCTTGGGACTGCCGGCATATATTCCCTCTCTGAAGCGAGTAACCTTCAGGCTATGACCTGGCTCTTTCCCAATGAAGGGGTCTGATTGCCAGGGCACAGAAATAATGTTAGATATCTGCAACCATAAAACCAAGAACCATGAAATGAAGGTTGACATTTGAAGAGAGCTAATATGGTCTGGTGAAAGGTAAGGGCTGGTTCTGCAGCACCTCGCTGCCTCCTATCTTGGCCCCACTCCCCCACCAGCACCCATCCGTCTGGGCAGATGGCACCTCTCCTGGTGGCATCTCAACTCCCTTGTGTTTAAGGAATAATGAAGAGCAAACAAAGAGCTATGAGAAGCAATTTTTGCTTGGAATTGGGCATGCAGCACCATCCTGGGACGTAGGGTCCCAGGGACACCAACAGACACCTCTGAGCAGCCTCTCACTCAGGACTGCTCAGCCACCCATGTGTCCCCACTGGGCTGCCTTCTATGCACCTCCCCAGTCATTTGCCCATGGCAGCATGATTGCTGGGACCTCCTGATAGCCTGGCCCCAAGCAGGACCCTGTATTCTGGCAGTGGCTTCTGGCAGCTCAGTCACTGCTCCATCACCCCCACACCCCACAGTACCTCAGTAGCCTCATGCCTGCTGTTGCTCCAAGATAAGCTGGGACATCCCTCTGTTTTCCAGCAGGAACAACCTTCATGGCTTTATCCAGGCACTCCCTTAGGGAATCACCAGCTTTCGGGGGATCATTGGCATAGCTTGATATGCCTTGCCCTGGAAGAGTCAGGACAGGACAGGCTGATGGGAACAGCTGAGGACAGGGATGTGGGATCAAGGTGGCACAGGGCAGTGAGGTCTGTCACCTCTTAGCAACAAAGGGTGCTTTTCCAGGGTCCCCCAAGACCTGGCTGAACCATGCTTATGTTCCTCTCCTATGGCCTCTCCCCATGTCTCGCATGTTTTCAGCAGTGTCCCCAGCTCTATGAGTGAGACCTTCCCCAGCCAGGACAGCAGCTTGGGCATCCGGGGGAAGTCCAAGGTGGAGGAATAAAAATCCAGAGCAACATCAAGGTGCTTCAGTCGCACCAAGTGTGTGGGCACACGGTGTTGAGGGGCCTCCAACCATGAGTGAAGCCAGCTGGGAGTCAGTGAACACCTTGCCTGCAGCCAGGGCTCCCCACCATGCCAGCATTGACAGCAGGATGGACAGAGCTGCCCAGCATGGGCAGGCCAACAAAAGGAAGGGCCAGGTCATCCACCCACCACATGAACACTCAGGGCAGCACTGAGCCCATGGTAGGGGGATACTGACCCTGGACATCACAGGACAAGTTCTGGCTGACCACGCCGGTGTCGTTCTCCTTGTCTGAATCCCACTCGTAGACAAACAGGGAGGTGTGGGATGAGCCTGCGTCAAACACCATCCCATACTGGAAGGAAAAAACAAGACATCACACTGGCAGGAGGATCATCATCCTGCACTGCCAGGGTGGTGAGGCCAGAGGATGCCCCCCCCCCAATCCCTCTAAGGCACAGCTACCATGGCAGAGCAGGGCAGTGACAGTGCATGGCCTCTGCATAGGCATTTCTCACAGCAACTGACAGACTTTTTCATTCCCTCTCCTGAGGTCTGTGCAGCAATGCCAGCTTACACAAACATTTTCTTCGTTGTTTCCTCATGCCTTTTTTTTTTTCTTTCTTGGTTACATACTTTTTGTGTCTACACTGGCTGCACCTTGGGGCCAGCAGCTCTCCCATCTCCACTGCTCTCTGCTACCCCATGGCTGCACCCAGCCTGGACAGAGGGTGGCAGGGCCACACCAGTCCCAGTCTGGGAGCACTCAGTTGTGTGCCTCTCCCCTGTAAAGCCCTCCACCTCACCCTGAAACTCTGCCAACCCTCCTCCAGCAGCCAGGGTGGGATGCCAAGCTGCAAGGGAGAGACAGGGAGGAGCCACGATGCTTATGCTGTGGTGTGAGCTGGTTAGGACAGGCTGGTGGGACCTGGCAGGAACAAAGGCCATGTGGAGGTGCATTGCCCTGAAGTGCAATGCCCTGGGAGGGCTTTGCCTTACCCATCTGCTCCAAGGTAATCTCCTTGAAGTGCGTCAAGCACATGGCATGCTGGCTAGTTTCAGAGGAGGTTTCCCGCACCCATTTTTGAGGTGGCCAGGCTGTATTTCTTCTGCCTGCATCTTCAGATAGGAAGAAAACACCCACCCAGGTACTACAAGATAGTTCCTACTAACCCCCTTCACCTCCTAACCCAGAAGATGTTGCCTCTGAGCACCTGCCAAGGTCTCTGCAGTGGTGCTCGGGGACCTTTTGGGCTCACCTTGACTGTGGGTGGCAGGGTGACATCTTCAATCCTCACCAGGCTGAGAACAAGGGCAATGATGGAGAGTGCAATCAGTGCCCCAACAATGGCACTGGTGAAGTGCTTCTTGTTAGCAAACATTGTGGTGAAGGCTCCTGCAAAGCCAAACACAGGAGAAAGGTGGTTAGACATGGCCAGCTGGGAACAAGCTAGTCAGTGAGAGCTGCAAGGAGATAAGCTCCGGAAGTTGTCCCCACACTGATGTTATCTTAAGCTGTGTAACCTGGAAATTCTGGTGGATAATCAGAACTTTCCCTGAGAAAAGCAACACTAGGATAAAATAGGAGGGGCTGGAGGAAAGAGGGGTTGGTTGCCCAGCAGCCTGGCACAGTCACGATGGGATCGCAACAGTACTCCAGGTCCCACACCCACTCCTGCTCAGCTCACCACTACTGGGAAGGATCAGGTCCAGGAGGAGCAAAAGAAACGCTGCACCAAACAGAGGAGAACATGGGAAACTGCAAAAACCCCTCAGTGTGAGATATTGCAGAAGGGGAAGGTGATTTTATTTTACAAGGTGTAAGTAAGGTCAGCTCACCTGCTGGCACTCCCAGACCCGTGTATCCAGGTGTGTCTGCCCAGGTGGGACTGCTCGGAGCTGGGTTTCAAGTCCTTGCTGAGGCTCTGAGCTCTTCCACTGCCTGAAGCAAACCCAGCTTGGCCTTTTATATAATATCCTTTGGAAATGGATGCTGCTCGAAAATCTTCTCCCGTTATTTTATCTCAGACCTCATCAGCCTTAGGCAAAACTCTTGAATATCATTTCTCTTGTTTGTCTTACAGGTATATTTATGGCTCAGTTTGGCATCTTCCTGACACCTTATCTTCAGCCAGTTAGTTCCTCCTCCTCATTTGAATGAAACCACACATAGGAGTTCTGCAGCAATTAGCACACACCTCTCCTTTTAACCCTTGTCCCCCTGCTTCTTTGTGCTTTTACACACACACTCACATTTCTGTTCTCTCTTTGCTTTCACCAGTCTTAATATTTCCATTATGAGTCTCCACAAGGTTTATAAGAGGTGAGAGTGATATTTCCAGTATCCAATGCCCTGAAATCACACACAGAGTGGTAGGTGCCTTGACAATAAGTTTTATTACAATGAGAAGGAAAATCACATCAGAGGAGAATGGCCTTGCCAGGGGGGTCTCAGCAATCCTTGCTGAGCTTTGCCAGGGGAGACAGGAGAGGCCAAGACATTGTCATGGCCCAGCTGGGACTGCAGTCATCTCTTCCCTGTGTGTGACCCAGCTTCAAGCTGCTCCTGGGCTGGGGGTCCCTGCAGACATGAGGACCCCAAGGAGAGACAGGGAAGCGAGGAGGACTCGGGCCCTCACAGGCCCCAGCTCTGCCATCTCTCTGGGCACATGTTTGAGGCTCAGTGGCACAGGCAGGGCATCACAGCACCCTTGTCCTGGGACTGAGAGGGCTGGTGGATGGGAGACCTGCTCCCTCTGGGTGGTACAGGAAAGCTCCTTCCTGCTGATTCAGCTTCTCGGTAAGAGACTGCCAGGGTCATCACAAGGTCAGTCTCAATGGAAGGATTCAGTTCCCAGCTGCCTTATCTCAGCTGAGTCAAACACAAGGATGCCAGAAGGGAAATGAGTGCTGGGGGGCCTTCATCACATGCCACCTTTCCAGAGCACCTTTCCCTGCAGCCGGCAGGACGCTGTGTGCACTGAAAGCACCACCCTGTGAAATCGAGGGTGCAGCAGTCCTTGAGTGCTGTCCCAGGTCACACCTACCTGCAGCTTTCACAGAGCTGGCTGCCTGCGCTGTACCCTGCTGCCGGCTGGCTGGGGCTCACACCTCCAGGCCAGTCCCTCTTCTCATGGCAATCGCCTTTGCAGTGGCTTGTGTGGTGGTGGGGTGGATGCCTGGAGCCCAGGGAGTGCCACCACTCCTGCATTCCCACCTCCACACAACTCATTACCTTTGGACTCACACAGCTTAACTGGAAGGGTGTGAATGAGTGTCCAGGCAGCAGGACTGTCTGAAATGCTGTTTCTGTTTCAGTTCCTAGGATTTCCTCTTTGCCAGGCTCAGCTCTTTGGAAAACGTGGTCACTAGACTGGGGCAAGTCCAGCCAGGAACAGCCCTGGTCCATGTAAGCACAAGGGCAGTGAAGAACTAAGATGACACAGCAGCAACTGGTCATGGTGCATGGGAGGGTCTCCTGAGCTGCCAAAAGAAGGAATGGATGGGAGTGCCCCAGGTCTGCTTGTCCCAGTAGGGAACTGGGGTGCAGCTGGAGCCACACGCCAAATGCAAGTTTTGTAATGCTTCCAGGTCCACCACTGCAGCTTCTGAGAGCAATGGACCCCACATAAACGTGTTGAGTGGGACAATGTACTCAGGCAGTAAGTGGGGACACATGGCTCTGTGGTCCCACCTCAGGGATCCAGTCCCTTGAGGAGCTGTGTTCACTCCAAAGGGGCCTTAGAGCAGCCCAGTGTTCTGGAGCTGCAGGAGCCCTCAGCCACCCATCTTCCACAGACCTTGTCCTAGAAAGGACGGCAGGACAAGACTCAGCCCTGCTCCTGAGATGGGCACAGCCCCAGAGGGTTGGAGATCAGGGTCAAGCTGATGAGAGCACCCTGTGGACACCACTGAGCAGATCACAAGCAACTGCACCCAGTGGTGTTTTGCTCGCCATGAAAGCAGTGTTGGTGGTGTGCTAATTCCTTCTAACGTGGGCAGATGTGTCCATTCCCTGAACAGCAGCTGTACACCTGGCAGCAATGAGTGGAGTCAGGAGACATCCCCCAGGTGCTAGAGCCCTTCATCCACCTCCTGAGGTCCTGAGCGTCCACCTTCCTCTTGGAAGGAAATGTGGATGTGTAAAAGCAGGAGAACCAGTTTCACTAGCACATTTTTGAGCAAACAGCCTGTCTGGGTGCCGAAGGCCTGGCAGGGCTTGGGGCAGAGCTGCAGGATGGGGCTGTGCCCAGGCAGAGGGCATGTGGCACCACTGGATCTGGGTGGATGGCTTGAAGAAACTGGTTTCAAGGGAGCTCCTCCATCTATTCTATCTCTTCCCCTCCCTGAAACCCAGCAGGAACTGCAGGGCTTCAAGCTGCCCCAGCTGGAGAGGACCAGAAATCCCTATTCTCCCAGCACTCTCCTTACTGGGGCCCATCTGCCATCCTACAGACCCCCATGGGCTTGGCTGGTGGACAAAGGTAGATACAGGGGTGGGATCAGGACAGAGGCTTTGCTGGGAGAGGTAATATTGTTTAAATATAGTTCAGTTAAATAATCTGATAAAAGGTAGTACTTCATCAGTTTATGCTAGGTATTCCTGAGCCAAGTCACAGCTATGGCTTAGTAATTTTGTGGGCAAAATTCTCCCTGCAAAAAGTTTAGGGCAACAGAAAGCTAGGGCTGGGAGGAGGCCTGGCAAGCTGGGGCAGAGGCAGAGCCCGTGAGCTCCCATGAGACCGGGAGAAAGGCTCAATGGAGATCGTCTTCCCAAACCTGTGTCACGTCCCCAGCACAACAAAGAGCCCTGATTGCACCCCCGCCTGCTCCCTTCAAGGGCTTCCAGAGAGGCCCCTTGATTAACAAATTAGATAATTACATTAGTTTTTACCTCCTCCAGCTGAATGTCCCTTCTCCTTCCACCTGGGCACTCTGGGAGGGAGAAGACTATTTCCCCTTGTGCCTGCATCTGCCCCTCATGCAGAGCCCTGCACCTCTCCCAGGTGATGCTGCCCCAGCTGAGCTCTGGCAAGGTGACAACCCCCCAGCTCAGTACCACAATTTTCTCTAGATAATCCCACCCGAGGTGGTGTCTGTCTGTTAAAACACAGGCCAGGTCTCAGGGTGTTACAGATTGTCATTGATTTGCTATTGATTTAGTGGATGATTTTGGACCTTATGATGAGAAATAATCATGATTAAATCATAGAATAGAATTTTATAAGAATATTAGTTTTATAAAACTCAAAGAATAATTGTATATTGTTTTAAGTAACTATGGAACTCTGTGTAAGCATGTAACCAGCTGTGCTGCTATGAGCTCATCTGTAAAACATCAGACCAAGACTGCATGGGCCACATAGTTCAATAATTATTAATCTTGAAATAATACTTTATTGTTTTGCATATCAAAAGGTAGAAGCTTAGGTAAGATTAATAGAAATTAGAGAAAATTAACTGTAACAACCTGCCTATGTCTGCCAAGTTACGAAGAAACTCAGTAAAAGGTAATTCTGACAGGGGGAGATGGCAGCAACTGACCCATGGACTCCCAACTCATTACAATCCAGATTCATTTCAGGACTCCAGTGAGTATGACTGGGAAGAGGCGTGGATATTAAAATAATTTACATGAATTAATATGTTTATGTATGAGCACTTGATTAATATGTATTATTGTATTCTATATAATCAGCATGTTATACAAATTAGGTGTGCGTTGTTGGTGAGACGACTCCCCTGAGCACCCAATGCTGCTAATAAAGGAGTGTCTGCTTATCTAAATCCCACTGGTGTTGGTAAGTTCTCTAAACTGTTTTTGGTAACAAGGCCAATGTGATGCCTCAGCATGGAGCATCACGGGACCTGGAAGGGTCATGGTGCCTGGCCCAGAGGAGCACCCGCTCTCACATGGCTCCCCTCAGGTTCTCGGTGCCCTGTTTGCCTTCAGGGATGTGCTCTGGTGAGAGCTAAATGTGATATTTGTTCATCACTGAAAAAGGGACCTAGATGTCTGACTGCAGGTGGACAAATCTGCTACGGAGAAGTATGGCTAGAGTACACACACACCCCTATTTGATCTGCTTTTGACATATATTTATTTGTCTGTGGCCCTCAAAATGACTTGTTGAGACCCAGAAGGAAGTTGCCAGGCAGGTGTGGAGACGCTGCGGGGTTCGAGCCCAGCCATTACTACCAGTCATGAGATGACTGGTGTTTGTGAAATGAGATCACCTCCATGGCTAACACCTTCCCTGTGCCTTCTGAGAGGAAAACACCCTGACTCGGAGTCAAAAGAGAGTCTCTCATTTCCCCACCATCCAGTACCTGCACCACGAGGTCTCCCCAGCTCCAGCCATGGGAGGTGCAGGCAGTGGCT